TGTCCGCACCGCGCTCAGCCAGTGAGCGCACCGGTCATCCCTATATAGGATCCGAACCTGCGGCGGGAGCGCTGCTGCACTCCCAAGCGCCACACTCTCCTGAGTGCACCACGGGGCCGGCCCAGCATTTGTTATTTTCTGTCTCTTTGATAATAACCAGTCTAACTGGGGTGAGATGATATCTCATTGTGGTTTTCATTTGCATTTCTCTAATTAGAGATGTTGAGCATTTTTTCATGTACCCGTTGGCCATTTGTGTGTCTTCTTTGAAGAAATGTCTATTCAGCTCCCTTGCCTATTTTTAAATTGGATTATTTGTTTTTTTATTATTGAGTTGTTTTAGTTCCTTGAATATTCTGGATATTAGTCACTTGCCAGATGTGTAGTTTGCAAATATTTTCTCCCATTCTTCAAGTTGTCTCTTCACTCTTGATTCTTTCCTTTGCTGTGCAGAAGCTTTTTAGTTTGATGTAATCCCATTTGTTTATTTTTGCTTTTGTTGCTCGTGCTTTAGAAGTCCTATTCATAAAATCGTTGCCCAGTCCTATGTCCTGAAGTGTTTTCCCTGTGTTTTTTTTCTAGAAGTTTTATAGTTTCAGGCCTTACATTTAAGTCTTTAATCCATTTTGAGTTGATCTTGGTATATGGTGAGAGGTATGGGTCTAGTTTCATTCTTGCACACATGGATATCCAGTTTTCCCAGTACCATTTATTGCAGAGGCTATCTTTTTACCAGTGCGTGTTTATGGGACCCCTGTTGTACATGCAGTCGTCATTGACCGAAACATCATTATGTGGTACACGACTGTGCCTGTCGAAAACATATTGCTGGTAATTATGTATTTTTATGATCAATAAAGGATGCTTTAGCCTAGTGATACATATACATACATTTTCCGTTCCCCTCTTGGCAAGGTCCTGACTTACATTCTCTCATCCTGCTGCAGAGCAAAATGCCTCTCGTTATTCACGTTGTTTGCATCACTACATGTTGTGTGAGAGATGGGACTAGATCACATGATCTCTTCTGGGAAGCTGGTATGTTGATTCCTGATGTGTTCAGGTGGCCTGGACTCAGAAATCTATGAAGCCAATTGATTTAAAAGAACATTTACCAAGACTCACTCACTTATTAATTTATTTATTCTGCCAACGTATATTTATTAAGTGCCATTTGTTTGCACAGTGAAGTCATCAAAGCACACTTGGGTGCTGAGGGTGCAGACAGAAAAGGAGTTCTCTGCCTCTGGGAAGTTAGCTGTGGAGAGAAAGCTGGGATGTTGAATAATTCAGTCAATAGTGCAAGGTGTGGTCTCTGACTAAATGCCAGTGTGAAAGTATGGGCCAGCACGCTCCAAGAGTTTGACAAACGGGAGGGACAGAGCTGGGTGTTCCCTCTAAGGCATAAGCCCACCTGCTCAGAAGACAGGAGGTCCAACTTCAGCAAACCATTTGCTGGTGGAGAGGTAGTGGATGAAGTTGGATGGCATAGGCCAGA